GCCACCCGCCAGGCCGCGCTTCTGCACAGCTCCGCGGTCCCCAGCGACGCGGATCTGGGCGCGCGTCCAGCCTCTACCTCCCTGCCTCTTCTCGGGTTCACCCGAGAGAAGCCTAGGGACCCTCCGGGCCTCCCACGCCCCCTCCCCAGATCCCCAAACACACCTGCAGACAGGCGCTTTTGTCACCAGCCGGCCAAGCGCTTTGCCCCGGAATGAGAGCTGCAGCAAAGTTCAGTCTCCAAGGCCCTAAGCCACTGGGAACCTTGGTGTCCCGTTTCACTGGGAGAGGGCTCTTTTCTTTTCTTTCGCTGAAGAGAAACTCGCTGCCCTGTCATAGGACACCGCTGCAAACCAAAATAAACTATTGCCTCTGAACACACGAGACGAAACCCTGTGGCTCAGGCCGCTGCGCTTCCTTGGCTGCGAAGTTTCCTGCAAAGAGTTGAAGGACACCCTGAGTGCTCTTGCAGCCGCGGGCTGTGCGGGCCCAGCGCGCCTCAGGCCCTTGACTGGGTTCGTGCAGACGCGGCCCCGGCGTCCTCGCTGGCCGTGGACTGCGCGCTGATGTGAGCAGGGCCAGCGCAGCTGAGCCGCGCAGGAGAGGTTGGGCCGCCCGGGGTCGTGGCGGACTGCCTGAGAAGTGTTCAGGACACAGACTGAAGGCAATTGGGAATGTTTGTCGTTGTTGAAAAGTCCCTGAGGCAGTGTCTCCACACTGACCCCCCAAGTCATGGGGCATGTTTCTAGATTTTATTGCTGGATATTCTTCTGTTCCTATAAGGGCTCTGGTTTGGGCGGTTATTGACTGAGAGGTGGGATGAGGGTGGAGGTGTCACAGTGCACCGCTCTGGGAAACGGTGCTGCCCCCTCCCCTAGAGGGCTAGAGAGAGGATTGGAATGAGGCACCCCAGTCCTTGAGTTATGGGTGCAGCTGACCTGGGGGAAGCACAGAGACGTGGGGTCCGTCCCAGACTCCTCTTGGCCTGGGAAGGGTGACATGGCCCTCAGAGTTGCCCCACTGGCAGCCAAGTAACCAGGGCAGGGGCCAGGCTCCAGGCAGGTCTGCTTCTCCTTGTACACATCGCCAGAATGCTTGTCCCCCCCCGCCCCCTACCTCATCTCGCTGTGCCTATGTTCCCCCTGGCCCCACACTTAGTCCTAAAGCTGAACTACAGAGAGAGCTCGGCCAGGGGTCCTGCCCCCTCCCCCACTGGCCGACTTCCGACAGGCAGCTGGGTTCCTGGGCTTCCCGGGGTTAAACTCAGGGTGGGCCCCCTTCCCAAGCCTGCTTGGAGGGGCCAGCTGGGCTCCTGTCTCTGCATTAGACTGGAAGGCTTTCTGAAAACTCCTGGAGCCAAGCTCACTGGGTCCCAAATCCGGGGTACCATCAGAGCCAGTCAGGATTTTTGCCAGTACACGGATTTACATCCAGAACGGTTGGGAAAGTTAGTCTTACTGACAAAAAGCTGGAGGAAAGAGCACAGGAGGTGCACACGAAACCCTGTTCTTTTGGTAAGCACACCTGGGGGCTCTGTCACTTTAAAAAGACCTGTTGAAATTCGCTGCTTGACAGGCGGGCCTTAGGTCCTGAGAGTAGAAACAAGAATTGCTTTTGAATGAAACGGATAATCCCAGGGGGTGTAGGGGGAGAGGAGAGAGCGCCTGTGTGTTGGAGCTCTGAATAGGTCCTGATTTCTGGCCTGAGCACCGCTGCTTGATTAGGGGAGCCAGAGGAGCTTCTCTTCTCTGGGCGCTGGAGAGTCACAGCCCCACCCACCCCAGCGGGGGCGGCTGCGGCATTTGCCCTTGGATGCATACCTTCAAGCTCACTGTTGCTTGGGGGCGGGGTGGAGGGGGGCTTGTGCCTCACTACTGGGCTCCTATTCTGTCCACCCCCAACCCACCCCCTGCCTCAGCTTGGAAGGGCCCAAAAGAAATCCAGGGAAACCTGGAGGCACAACACTCAGAGAGGAGCGTTTAGCTCCTCAGTTACCCAGGCTGCAGGCCGGGGCCCTGGTGGTGGTTTTCCCAGGTGATCTGGTTACAGTGCAGTGCTGACCTCCCCTGCAGGGTCCCAGTGCAGCTGCTGGAAACGAGCCCCAGAGGTGCCTTTCTGGAGTTAGATCAGGTACAAAAGTGAAGGCTGCTTTGGGTCTCTCCAGTGCCGTGAGTCACCAGCAACCTGATGTTCGGCTTTCTCCTGGGTTTCAGGGAGTTGCATTTGGTCCCGGGGACAAGGAAGTGGGGAGACAAGTGGTCCCCTTTTCCTGCAACTTGGTGGCTAAATACACACTGCTGTTCTTAGTCCACATCATCCCTCAATTGATTGCAGCCTGTAGAAAAAAATAAAATAAAATGAGCCCCTTTCTCAAGATTTCTTCCTGCTTCCCCAGCATTCTTTCCCAAAGGTGCAGAACTTCAGACAGAGGCCTCTCAGAACTTTGTAAACAGGCAAGCTTAAAAAAAAAAAAGAAAAAAGAAAAAAAAACTCTGGACTAAATATTCTTGGACATACATTTAATCTCTGATGAAAGGATCCACAAGTTCAAATAATTTGGGGTATTAAGTGGGGCTTGGATACAATCTGCAAGGAAAAAAAACAAAAAAACAAAAAGCACACACAAATCCCAGCCCTCCAGGGCTTGCAATTCTATATTTAAAGGTTGAGCAGTGGGTTCTGCAGGAGCCCCTTGCTAATTTACACTAATGAGTGTCAATTATGGCATTTTGTAAATTGGTGATTTTGTAAAGATCTTAATACAATTCCTGAGGCTACAGAATCCCTGCCTAGGCAATGAAAACCACATTTGACTCCAGCTCCACTAATCTCCAAGCCTTGGGGGAAGTGCTGGGCAGAAGGTGGGCCCTTGGCCTGCTCTCAGGGGACTCACAGGTAGGAAGCCAGCCAGGATTCTTTTGTGCCTTCCAGAGCTTTAGGTGAATGTGAGGAGGGGGCTGTGGGTTGGGGAGGGCAGCATTCCTGAGCGCTACTGTGCTTCCTGGCTAGAGGCCTGAGCCAGAGGAGAGAGGCCAGAGAGCCTGGAGCCTCTTGTCCCCCTTCCTTTCCCCTGAGTAAAGAGATCTTTCTCAGCTGTCCCTTGAGGAATTTATTTTACAAAGAGTAACTGGGAATCTCAGTACCTTGGACTGAAACCGTTATCTCCTATAATTACTACCTTTACCTTAAGACACTGAGCAGGTGGCTTCTAATTTAATCTCCCCCCTCATCTAGGGTCCAGCTCTCCCCAGGCCTGTTGGTCTCCTTGCCCTGTAGAAGCTGAGTCTGAGCTTAGCCAGAACTCACTGTGCTGCCTGAGGAGATGGCCTTTCCCAAAATGCACCAGTAACCTGGAACTCACCCCGGTGATGCCATCTCTTGATCCTTAATGGCTGCACCAACTGCTGCAGACCCAGGCACACATTACCAAAATCTGGCAGGGTACTCAAGTGCCTTGTTCTCCTTACCTCTTCTAGGGAAGCCCGTCAGCCTGAGCTACAGATGCCCGTGCCGATTCTTCGAAAGCCATGTTGCCAGAGCCAACGTCAAGCATCTCAAAATTCTCAACACTCCGAACTGTGCCCTTCAGATTGTGTAAGTCTTGAACATCATCTAACGAACAAAGTTGCATCTAACGAACATAGTAACATCTAACCCAAGTCTTGTTAAAGGTGTAGAAGTAACATAAGCCAAGTGTCCAACCTTGAACTTGGCATAATTAGTGGCAGCTATTTTTACCATGAGGACCTTTAGTGTGCCACCAGCCATGAATTTTAAAAGCTGTTCTTGGCCTGCACACCCTGCTGTGCTTGTAGTAGTTCTCTCTTCTTTCCAAACCTCCTTTCTTCAGCACAGCACAGCTAGATGTTGGAGAAACTATGGGCTTTGCCAAGGTTTTGACTGAAGCCTACTAAATTAGCCAACCCTTAGCTAATAACAGTGATAAATGGCCTGCCAGTTTCGGGGATCCGATGCCCTACATTAACTTACAAGACCTAAAGTCAGTTTAAGTCCTCTTTAACCATTGGGTGAAACTTCAACATTTTCAGCTCACTTACCTGTATTTTCTCAAGTACAGCATATGAGGTTTTGGTGTTATTTGGTGTGGATGGCAGCCGCTAACATTTGATTTTATTCATTTGGGAAACAAAGACCAAAATCACACATCCACAAGACAGGAGAATCTCAGCTGGGTGCAGAAAACCGCAAGAAGTGCAGGAAGAAAGCCATGTGCTTGAAAGCCTATAGCTTGGCCCTCTCATGCTCACGAGGTCCTGTGTCTGAACACGGGGAAGCAAGGGCTCGGGGAGTCTCTTGGAGAGGATTTGATTGCTCAGAAGTCCTAGTGCAAAAAATGGAGTGGGGACAGCAGTTGGAACCAAAGCTACAAATTCCCAAAGACTTTTCCACCCGACACCAACAGTTTTTAGTTTTGATTTTAGAAAACTGTTTTTAGTTTTGAGTTCACCCTTTACTGCCTTGAATGTGTTTGTTATTTACAGTATATTTTAGGGCCCTAGAAGATGAATATATTTTCAGTACTTTGTCTACAACATGATACTTTATCTCTTGTGAAGAGTATTTTAAAGATACTGAGTTTAGCTAGCATGGACCTGCTTGAAGTTGAAGATGCCAAATACAATTCTCAGGTCTAAACAGACACTAAATTAACAAATGGCAGGGCCTAGATTTGCACCCCAATGTGGGTTGCTCCGAGCCACACCCACCTCTGCAACCCTCTTCACCTAATGGACTTGAAGACTCCCTGGGTGCCCCTGAGCCACTGTGCTGGGGCTTAGCTGTCCTCAAGACCCTTAAGTACTTGGGCTGTGTGACATTCCCTGGCACCTCGGGCTTTCTGGCAAGAGATCCAGAGAGATGAATCAGGCCTTCCCCAGGAGTTTGCCTGTAGGGTAGCTCTTGAGAGTGTGAACTTAAAAACAAATGAGACCAAGAAACATTCAGTGAACTTGTAAAATCTTTCTAGAAACTATTTTCTGGTAAGCCACCTGCACTGCCCCTCCCCTCCCTGGCTGGTCACCCTCCTGGTCAGACTGCGGTGACTTCTGGAGGCCTCCTGCCTCCAGGCTTCCTCACGCCCATCCTTAAGTCAGCCCTATGTCTATCAAGATGACCCATCCAAATAAACCTCTCATCTGTTGCTCTCCATTCTCCCCTCCACAGGCGCCTAGAGCATCCTGTCCTCCCCTTCCTCAGTGTCCTCTGCATGCTTTGTAACCCCTCTGGCGTATTTGCTTCTGATTTTCCTTTCCCCTTTATTTACTCTCCAAGCTCCTACTTACCCTTCAAAGACAGCTCAAATGCTCCCTTCCATGAATTCCCCCTGCACTGCCACGGAAAGACTTCTGTTCACATTTCCATGTCTCTGTAATGGAACTTCCTGCACTGCCAGCGCTGAGCTTTCCCCAGCACATCGCGAGCACCTCTGGAGCCTGAGCATGCCAAGTGGAGCACGGAGTGCCAGCAAGGGCCCTAGATGGGTGTTGGGGGAGCGGATGCACACGGGGCAGCAGCGCCTTCCTCCTGTGCAGCCGCACACTGTTGCCATTCTGTTTTCACAGAGCTCGGCTGAAGAACAACAACAGACAAGTGTGCATTGACCCGAAGCTAAAGTGGATTCAGGAGTACCTGGAGAAAGCTTTAAACAAGTAAGCACAGCAGCCATAAAGGACTTTCCGCTAGACCCACTTGAGGAAAACTAAAACTTTGTGAGAGATGAAAGGGCAAAGATGTGCGGGAGGGGGCCTTAATCATGAGGACCGGGTGTGTGTGTGGGGTGGGCACATTGATCTGGGATCGGGCCTGAGGTTTGCCAGCATTTAGACACCGCATTTATAGCGTACGGTATGATATTGCAGCTTGTATTCATCCATGCCCTGTACCCGTGCACGTTGGAGCTTTTATTACTGGGATTTTTCTAAGAAAGAAATTGTATTATCAACAGCATTTCCAAGCAGTTAGTTCCTTCATGATCATCACAATCATCATCATTCTCATTCTCATTTTTTAAACCAACGATTACTTTAAGATCTGAATTTGGCTTGTTTGGAGCATCTCCTCTGCTCCCCTGGGGAGTCTGGGCACAGTCAGGTGGTGGCTCAACAGGGAGTTACAAAAAGTATCCTTCCTCCAGACGCTGAGGCTCCTGCAGCAGCGCCCCTCCCAGGAGGAAGGCCTCTGTGGCTCTCAGATACCAACTGAGGCTGGGTACTGCCACCGCCTTCACCTCCTCTTTCAACCTCAATGATTGGCTCTGTGGGCTCCATGTAGAAGCCACTGTCACTGGGACTGTGCTCAGAGACCCCTCTCCCAGCTATTCCCACCCTCTCCCCGACTCCGAGAGCATGCTTAATCCTGCTTCTGCTTCTCATTTCTGTAGCCTGATCAGCGCCGCACCAGCCGGGAAGAGGGTGATCGCTGGGGCTCATGCCCTGCATCCCTCTCCTCCCAGGGCCTGCTCCCCAGCTCGGGCCCTCTGTGAGATCTATCTTTGGCCTCCTCCCGAATGGAGCTGGCCCTGTCCTGGGGATGTGTGATGGTCCCCCTGCTTACCCACAAAAGACAAGTCTTTACAGAATCAAACGCAATTTTAAATCTGAGAGCTCGCTTTGAGCGATTTGGTTTTGTGATTGCCTCTGAAGCCTATGTATGCCATGGAGGCACTACAAACTCTGAGGTTTCTGAAATCAGAAGTGAAAAAATCAATGAATAAACCAGCATCTTGCCACTGCCCGCCCCTGAAGCCACAGCAGGGTTTCAGGTTCCAATCAGAACTGTTGGCAAGATGACATTTCCATGCATAAATGCGATCCACAGATGGTCCTGGTGTTATTTGTAACTTTTTGCAAGGCATTTTTATATATATTTTTGTGCACATTTTTTTTTATGTTTCTTTAGAAAACAAATGTATTTCAGAATATATTTATAGTCGAACAATTCATATATTTGAAGTGGAGCCATATGAATGTCAGTAGTTTATACTTCTCTATTATCTCAAACTACTGGCAATTTGTAAAGAAATATATATGATATATAAATGTGATTGCAGCTTTTCAATGTTAGCCACAGTGTATTTTTTCACTTGTACTAAAATTGTATCAAATGTGACATTATATGCACTAGCAATAAAATGCTAATTGTTTCATGGTATAAACCTCCTACTGTATGTGGGAATTTCTTTACCTGAAATAAAATTCATTAGTTGTTAGTGATGGAGCTCATAGACGTTTCTGGTTTATACAGTTAAGCCTGCCTGTGGTCAGGTGCCTGAGACCCCTTCTCACAGCCCATGTGTGACAGTGTATGGGCTTTTTCTCACGAGCAGATTAGATCTGCAGCTCAAGTTTTTGGATCTTTTTTTTTTTTTTTAAACCCAATTGAAATAGTAGTGCTGGTTTTCTGAAGAATAATATTTGACTCACTAATTCCTCTTCCCTCCCTCCTCCTCCTCGGTTCTCCTAACATCCCCATGTAATCCCCAGAGACTCAACCCTAGTAATATCAACCTTTCACATTTTCCCATGTAAAAATCCCATGACTCCAGGCCGTGGTTAATATCAAGCTTTCACAGGGACAGGTGGCCTCACCCCATAAATCATTAAATACCATTCAGCTTGAATCATTTTAATGTGACAGTCACGAGCCAGTTGCTCTAATAAAAATCTGCTAACCAGCTCTCTCCCTTGCTCTCCAGAACAATTGCATTCATTCCCAGGAGGGTTCACAGGCGTCTAGAAAGGGGAAGGTGGGACCACTGCCTTTTTTCTCCTCTTCCAAATGGCAGTGTGAACCTGGGGCCCGCAGCCTCCAAATGTCCAAATGCAGGCATTTCTTAGAGAAAGCTAAGAGTTCAGCCCTGCATTGAGGAGAAAAAGTCCCATGAGAGCAGGGCAGGACAAGGTGACAAGGACCACGATGGCCAGCCTGGCCCTGGGTGTACCCTGAGATGTGGATTCCTTGTCCCCAGTGGGAACCAGATTCAGGTTGGCAGATTGGCAGTCACAGTAACCCATTCACAAAGGTGTTCTAGGAGTCCATGGAACATTTGTTTGAATGGAAGGAAATGTCCAATTTATCTTAGTAAATCACTGATAAACAGTGCTTTGACCAGGGGCCTCCAGGTCTGAGACTGAAAGCACAGTTTAACTGGTACATGGGCCAGTGTTAAATCGTATGCAGACTGAGACGAAGTTTTGTTTATTTCCACGTTATTAATGGTTCTACTAATTTTATCTAAGGGGGCGCAGAGAAGAAAAAGTGGGGAAAAAAGAAAAGATAGGAAAAAAGAAGCGACAGAAGAAGAGAAAGGCTGCCCAGAAAAGGAAAAACTAGTTATCTGCCACCTCGAGATGGACCACAGTGCACTTGCTCTCGGCGCTTTGTAAATTTGCTCGATCCTCCTCCAGGACAGACCCCCATGCAGACCGGGCAGGGTCTCAGACTTCCGTGGGGGAGCAGTGCTTTGCTGCCCTGCCAGCCACACCAGCTTCTGTATTTATGTGCTTTTAAAGGCCCTTATTGGTCTGCTAAGTTATGAAGAAAGTAGTTGTGCAGAGACTGGGGCAGGGGTCTGTGACGTGGAGCCTGTGTGCTCAGGACTCTGTCCAGAATAGCCTGGGAGCTCCAGGAATGCCCAGGTTTGCTGAGCCCCTCAGCCCACCCTCCACTTCCTCTCTTAGAAGGCCCACAATCACTGGGGAGCTCACCAGCTCCACACACTTACAGTCTGCATTCCTGTGGAGACCAGGCTGTAACCACTTGGCCAGTGTGCAGGGCAACCTGCTAGCCCAGTAGAGGTGGCCTTGCCAGGAAGGGGGTGTGCCACCCCTCTGTGGCCCTCAGGAAAGGTGAAAACTGACTGAGCCTCAGGGCTGGGCCCTAGCTTTTTCCAAATACCCATTGCCTTTCCCTCCACCACTCTGCCACCTGGGAAGGGGCTTCTTCAGCCTCTCCTTCCTAGGTTGTGGGAGTGGCTTGATCCCCAAGCCCAGGTGGGTTTCTGCAAACTGTGTGGGGTGAGCCAGAGGGAATGCTGCGTTCTCAGAGAGCAGATGTGGAAACACTTCTCAGGGAGCTCCTTTTTGGGCAATTCTCAGTCTTTAAACAGGTCCTCCACGTGGAGGACAGATGTGCTATGGAACTTTGCAAGGGTCCTGAATCCCTGGGGATCCCAGCCTGTCCCCTCCCACCTCCTGTGTGATGGCGTGTGCTCCGGCTGCACGGCGCAGCCACCTCGATCCTCATTCATGGGAAATACCTTATCTGCCTAAAGCAAATACCACTTAAGCTCTAGAACTTTCCTGCACCCTCCGTCCCTGCCCATGTAGATGTATATGTGAGATTTTTTTGCCAAGTTTCTCTAATCTGGACTGGGAGGATGGAAGAGCAAGGCCCCCGTTTCAGTAGTGCTCTGAAAAAGGATGCATTGAATTTCTCAGCCCTTCTCCACCTCACATAAACACCTGCCCACCCTGCACCCCGAACCTGGGTCATAATTTTAATAAATGCAAAAAGAGGAAGTGGTTGGAGGATGGAGCACATGGAATTCAGGAGAAAACCCACCAAGACCCCTGCATGTCAGACACACCCCGACCCGGAGCGCCGTGTCCCCTTGAGCTTTAATGAGCTCCCTGTGATCAGAGCCATGCCTTCTTCTCCTTGTGGAGGCATCCTAGGATGCTTCAGCCAAAGGCCTTTGTTTCCAGCCACTATCCCTTTTATCTGGACAACTCTCCAGGCCTACGTTCCTCTTGCCAGCACTGGGGGTAACAGGCCTGAGCCCTGGATACAGGGGTGCCCTAGTCTTCTGCCCTCCCCACGTCTTAAGGCACAGGGCTGTTGGGTGGGCTGCCTGGGGCTGCCATCTTTCCCGTGGAAGCCAGTAGCCGTTGTGGTCCATGGGACTCTGACAAAAGCGCCCCAAGAGGGCCAACCTGTGCCCCCCTACTTAGCTGTGTTCTTCGGACTCCACATGCAGCAGGACTCTGTGCCTGGAGAGGGGTGGCCAGTCTGTCCGGGTCAGCATGAAAAGCTGTTGGCTCCCTAGGGACAGAGGGCCCAGCTAAGGCTGCCTGAGGATACAAACTGCTTGCTGCTGTGACAAGCAATGCTGCCTCCCTCCCATCCCACTCCTGGGGAGCAGGGTCTGCAGGGACTGAGAGTGGGTCCCATCTTGAGAACGCTTGCAAGGTCTGTCCTGTCTTGATGTCTTGATGTGACTGCACATGCCCTGGGGGCTCACTGTGGCTTCCAAGTGGCTTATGAAGCTCCTGGGAGCAGGTGGTACACCCACTGCTGAAGACAGGGTCGCCATGGAAGAGCGAAGAGCCTGACCGGGATTCCTGGTGGGTTGAAACTAGGAAGTGCTCACACCAGTCGGAGCCAGATGAGGGGTGCGCCATGGTCACTACTCTGTCCAGCATGCATTCCTCCTGGGAGGTCCTGGCCGCCTGTGCACCCACCCCTGTGCCACCTCCAGCAGCCCCACCTGGGGCCACCTGCAAGTGGCATGGCCCCTGGCTGAGAGGCTCCGAGGGCGAGGGGTTACTGGAAGCCATGAAAGTGTCTCTTGGGAGAGCCGAGGCCAGGATGCAGGGCAGCAGCATCCTGAGCCTCAGTCCCACGCCAGTGTCGGGTAAGCAGTGTGCCCTGTCCTCGTCGTATGACCACTCTGATGGGCCTCTCTGTGCCTTCATACGTCTGCCACGTGTCTGTTCTCTGCTTTCTGCCGTCCATGGGTCCTTCCGCTTCAGCCTGGCTGCGTCTCGCGCTCCCCTCCCCTCTGCTGTCCCAGGGCCTCTGAAGGGAGATGCATGGCCAAGGTGGCAACTTGGAAGTAGGGAGTGGCCCCAGGGCCTCCGCGCAGGCAGTCGCCCTGCAGGAGCCAGCTGGGTGTGGGGGGAACCTGCCTTAATGGTGTTTCCCTCTGTTCTTGTCAACAGGAGGTTCAAGATGTGAGAGGGTCAGACGCCTGAGGAACCCTTACAGTAGGAGCCCAGCTCTGAAACCAGTGTTAGGGAAGGGCCTGCCACAGCCTCCCCTGCCAGGGCAGGGTCCCAGGCATCGCCAAGGGCTTTGTTTTGCACACTTTGCCATATTTTCACCATTTGATTATGTAGCAAAATACATGACATTTATTTTTCATTTAGTTTGATTATTCAGTGTCACTGGTGACACATAGGAGCTTAGACTAAGGCCATTATTGTACTTGCCTTATTAGAGTGTCTTTCCATGGAGCCGCTCCTCTGACTCAGGGCTCCTGGGTTTTGTATTCTCTGAGCTGTGCAGCTAGGGAGAGTGGGCTGAAGGAACCTCGCCCCCATGGTCAGCCCTAGGGTGGAGAACCACCAGGAGGGATGCCTGTGGGTGCCAGGACCAGTCAACCTGGGCAAAGCCTAGTGAAGGCTTCTTTCTGGGATGGGATGGTGGAGGGCCACACGGGAGGCTCACCCACTTCTCCATCCACATGGGAGCCAAGTCTGCCTCTTCTGGGAGGGCAGCAGGGCTACCCTGAGCTGAGGCAGCAGTGTGAGGTCAGGGCAGAGTGAGACCCAGCTCTCATCCCGAGCACCTCCACATCCTCCACGTTCTGCTCATCATTCTGTGTCTCATCCGTCATCATGTGTGTCCACGACTGTCTCCATGGCCCCGCAAAAGGACTCTCAGGACCAAAGCTTTCATATAAACTGTGCACCAAGCAGGAAATGAAAATGTCTTGTGTTACCTGAAAACTGTGCACATCTGTGTCTTGTTTGAAATATTGTATTGTCCATTGTCCAATCTTGTGTTTTTGTTCGAAGCCAGCATCCTCCTCTGTGACCAGTGTCTTGATGCATGCACTGTTCCCCCTATGGAGCCGCTGAGCGAGGAGATTCCCCTTAGAGTGCAGTCCTGATCAGAGCCGTGTTCCTTTGGGGTGAACTACCTTGGTTCCCACACTGATCACAAAACCATGCTGGGTCCATGGGCAGAGCCCAAGGGAATTTGGTGTGCACCAGGGTTGACCCCAGAGGCTTGCTGCCCCATCAGTGCTCCCTCAGTTGTCAGTACCTTCAAACTAGGGCCAAGCCCAGCAGTGCTTGCGGAAAACAAGCATTCACAACTTGTTTTTGGTTTTTAAAACCCAGCCCGTAAAATAATCAATCCTGGACATGAAGATTTCTTCCCAATTCACATCTTACCTCATCTTCTTCACCATTTGGCATTGCCATCA